TGGTATTGATTTTCTATTATTCTAATATGTTCGGGGTCACGGGTAAATCAAAGGAAGAGGTGGTTATAAAAGGCAATTAATGCTTTGGCCGTAACATGATTGCTTTTTCTTTTAGGACCATCTCAAAAATGAAAATACATTTCGTAAACTTCGGCTGTCGTAAAATATTTGGCGCAAAAAAACCTCGTAACGTGGACTTTCTAAGCATAATACCTCAAGACACTAAGTAGCTCCGGTATTCGTCCAGAACCCCGGTGTCGCCAAGACGCCAACTTCCAGGATGAGATCTTAAGATGATCTTATCAGATCATCAGATAATTTGCATCGTGGATCTACTTAGTACTGTTTAGCGACTTATGAACCAAAGAACCCATGCATTCCACATACCAATCGTCTTTTACTCGACCACCCTCCCCACTCCACAATGCAGGAGCATAAAATTTTCTTCTCGAATTCGGTTAACTCTCAACGCTCATATATTATTCACGTGTCTTAGAACGCCGTGTGGGGTTATTTATGTTGATCTACGGGTTTCAACTATCCCCTACAGGCATAGAGACTCCGCGGCGTTATATAATAGGCCGTGTTTAAAACCTGCCGAGCAATATATAAACTATAGTGTGTCATTTTCGTTTAGGTAATGCATTTATTAGCTGTCTAGTTTATCCCTACCTCTATTCTGTTCTGGGCTGTTAGTCCGCACCCCAGGTCACCAGTAACGAGAGAGAAGAGCTGTACCCAGCTAGATGAACACAGGTTTCCAATGCAGCTAAGTGACTGTTCGCCCGGGGTGTTGGTGTTACCACTAGATGAGATTTCCAGTGTATGTAATAGTAAGAATCGTTAATGGAACCCCGGTTTCTCGAACTTGAAAGAGAACTTGAAAGAAGTTACCATTGTGGATCGATCATGGAGAGAATGGCGTGGGCGGAACAGCTCTAACCTAGAGAACTAGTTAGGCGTACGTCTACCCCGAAATATTTCTCCTTTTGCTCGAAACTGCCAAACGATATAACTCGGAATAGCATTATTACATTAACAATTTGAAATTCGACAATTAACAACGTGAAATATAACAACCACAAATATAAGAATATTTACTTAATTACCTAAGATGAACTTCTGTAAATACTAAGTCTCTAGGTTAAGCAAGTAATAATAAGAATTCGCTTAAGAAAATATATTCAACTCGTCGTAGGGTTCGAAAGGGTAAAAGGGACGTGTCAAAGTATCGAATAAAAACTATGACCGTCATCGGGGAATGCCGCCACTACCTGGTCTCCATGCGCAGACATCTTATCTGATCCGAAGATAACGCCGATGTCGCCAGACTAATACCCCTGCGGTCTCCTCTTGGCTGCATCTCCCTCAGCCAGTGCCAGGTTTGAAGACCGAGGCCAGCTAAGTTCGTACTCCGTGTATACTATTACATGTGTAACAAGTTGAAGGTACAGCGGGAACATCCCGCAAAGTCTGAGCTGGTCTTCGATTCTGCTATTGCTAGCGCAGTGACGCCAGGTTGATCTAGTCTCGATTCGCCGCCCGTCCGACACTGAATCCTCGAACCGAGACAGGTAGGGGTAGGGAATACACACCTATAGCTAGACCGAGTTATTTAATCACTCCCGGCGCTCAGTTACCTACGTCCTAACACACGCGGCCCAGTCACATCTCCAAGTATCTTTCATATCCTCCCTCGTGGGTCCTAAACAGCTGCTGGTCTCCATCGCTCCCAGCTGTTTTGTACCTACCCGCTTGGTACTAGCTCATATAGGTTTACATAGCTGTGACCGTAGGGGCCTATATCTCGTTTCTAGTTCTGGAACATGCCTACCCATTATCTACTCACTACCTACTTGATGTGCATAGCGCGTCAGGCCATTCGATTCACAGCATGTCGAATTTTAGCCTTGGAATTTTTCCATGATCTAGACAAGGATGGGTAAGACATGGTCCGCTCTATATATATTCTAACGACTGCACCATCATTCGGACTACCAAATTACGACTATCTTACTGACTCTTTCCTTCTCTAACAATTTATACCGCGAGAAGCCCCTTATTCTTAGTCCTTTCGGCTTTTCTTTTTCCGGCTCTACGGTTCTGTCAACGTCGTTGACGAATATAGTCTTCATCCTTTGATTTACGGGAACTCGGCAAGTAAGGTCACATCGTTAAATACCCGCAGAGTACTTGTTCCTCTGGCTAGGTACATGCCAGCTTGGCGGAGGTCTGGAGCGCCCGTATTAAACAGCGTCGCATAATCGCCGCCTGTTTTACGGACAACAGCCGGCAGTCTTAGTCCAATAAATAACTATCATGGCACCGCACAGTCTATTAGACGGGCATGACGATGGCCCAACCAGCAATGGTTTTCCGGAGAGCGGTCCTGATGGTCAACCGGCCTGGTTGTCGTCCCATGGCATTCTGAATAACAAGTCGCACCTAAAGAAGACATCAGCAGAAGATGTGCATGACCTTGTCTGTGTTGGATTTGGACCAGCTAGTCTCGCGGTCGCAGTGGCCCTTCACGACGCCATCGACCATGGTAATCTCCACAGGACGGGCACCGGGTCGTCTCCGAAAGTTCTCTTCCTAGAGAAACAGCCAAGATTTGCGTGGCACGCTGGGATGCTCCTCCCTGGCGCAAAAATGCAGATATCTTTCATCAAAGACATGGCTAGTTTAAGGGATCCTACCTCGCAGTTCACTTTCTTGAATTACCTTCACAAGAACGGCCGACTGGTTGAGTTCACAAATCTAAATACATTTCTACCATCGAGGGTCGAATATGAGGACTACCTTCGCTGGTGCGCCAGCTTTTTCGACGACGTCGTCCAATATAACAGCGAAGTAGTTTCTGTCTCCCCTGTCAAGGGGCTAGAACCAAACGGATCGGTTTCCACCTTTACCGTTACGTCGAAGGATCCTAAAACGGGCGAACCGATCACTTATCGATCCAAGAATGTTATTCTAGCTGTTGGTGGACAACCCTCGATACCGAAATGCTTACCTTCGAATCACCCTCGAGTTATCCACTCGTCTCAATACGCGCATCTCGTTCCGAAGATCCTAGAGAATCCGGCTTCCCCTTACCGGGTAGCTGTTATCGGAGCCGGACAGAGCGCTGCCGAGATTTTTAACAATATTCAAGTTCTCTACCCGAATTCTCGGACATCCTTGATCATGCGCTCCGAGTTCCTGAAACCCAGCGACGATTCACCATTGTAAGCCCGCCCAAAATTTTCGAGAAGTCTCCCTTATGTAGACTTCACTTTTTATTAAGAAGCTAACCGGCGATAGCGTAAATTCAATCTTCAATCCCTCGTTCATAAACTCCCTCTATCAAAGATCTGCCGAGGACAGATACACCCTACTAGAGGGAGCTCGGAGCACCAACTACGGGGTGGTCCGGCTAGAGCTTATTGAGCGTCTATACGAGAAAATGTACGATCAAAGGCGTGAACTTGGGACGGACGAAAGAAAATGGCCGCATCGCATCCTAGGTACTACAGATGTAGTCGGCCTAGACACCAAGTCTGATCAGCTGCGGCTCACAGTTCGTCCTCTAACATCAACAAAGACTGACGCTCACGATGGTACGCCAGAAGACGAAGTCTTGGATGTCGACCTTGTCATTGCTGCAACAGGTTACCGGCGCCAATCTCACCTGACTATGATACAAGACGTGGCCCATATGCTACCCCAAGCCCCCGAGTCGAACGGGGCTCTACAAAGCGGCGCAGTCGGACGGAAGTTCTCAGAAGCTAAGATCAACGATCGCCTGGTAAAGGTATCGCGTGACTACAGCGTGCAGTTCTCCCCTGGTAAAGTGGCGCCAGGGTCCGGCATCTGGCTTCAAGGATGTTGCGAGGGAACACATGGAGTAAGTCTATTTTAAATTATCAGAAATTCTTTCGCGTCGCTGACTCTGCTTCCTAGTTGAGCGATACTCTGCTGTCCGTTCTAGCTACTCGATCCGAGGAGATAGTTAACTCTATATTCGGCAAGGGTGTTCAAAATGGAGGGAAGTGAAGATTAATTGTTTGGGCTATCCTCTAAATTAATACCGTCTGTCAATGCGTCGGATTTTTGCGAGGACCAATTTGCTTCTCGTGAATAGTTGGTGGAAGAAGAATTATAAAAGGCGTAGAAGAGAATTATATTTAGCATCGAGACACTTCAAACAGGGGTGCAAATAAGTGCACCAAAACTAAAGCGGGAATACAAAATTTGGCTACGTGCCTGATAGTTAGGACATAACAAAAGATATAAATAAAATGACCTTTAGTTTTCTATACAGGATCGGCTAAACAAACAGGTACCTAATGCATGAAGAAGTTAGAAACATATAATGCGTAAATTATCAAATACAATTTCCCCAGCCGCAATCGGTTGCACTTTTGTTTGCTTACCTATGTTTGCGCATCGTCGAGGTCAATTCTTGCTCAAGCCTATCCTTGACCATGAAATTTGACCTTGAATCGGAGCGAACGCTCTTTTGCAGCCTTTTAGCAAGCCACGAACACGAAAGGCTAAAATGAAAGTTGATTAGAGGGGGTCACGACGGAGGGTAAACAACGCGTATGAGGTGTTAAGATAAAAGGGGAAATATTTGGAATAAATGATATATTCAGTACGTATAGCTTTGGCTTCCATGGTTGGGCGAGGGTTCCTTGAATAATCGAGTTGTTTCCATGCCTTTTACTTTACCTCGTGGTATGATATTTGAGATTAGTTTTTGGTAGTTCAATATAAGCTTACGTTGTCGACTCAAGATGATCGCTTGCACGGCAATAGTTTGCTTATAAACCCAGAGGCAAGCGTCAGCAAGCTGACCAATATTGATACCACTAGTCTGAATATGAAATGGACTTATTCATAGAGTCGGTCGATATTTAAAACATAAATAATAGCCACCTCATCTTTACCGTCTAATGAATGATATAAAATCTAGATCAATCTTGCAACTTGTTATAATCCTGAAAATCCCATACACAATGCTTCCGTCGCGATGGATAAAAGTGGTAAGCTTCTTACGCGTTGGGTCATGTATTGCGGTTCTTGCCCAAGAAGATTCTCTTCAGGCCTCAATCATCGATAGGTCTACGTTGGACGGGAAACTATTTGTCGGATACCAGGCATGGTTCCGGAAGCCGTTCGAAGATAATGGCAACTCCCACTGGACGACGTAAGGCTCTAAGTCCGCACCAAGATATCGAGAGATATTTACCTATAGTATACAGGGACACACCGACACCCGAGGTTGGCCATGGTGAGGAGTTCACTATCCGATCCAGGGCTTACACTAATTCATTATGTAGTCGGTGTCGACATGGTACCTAATATTACGGGGTATCCAGAAGAGTGCCTCTTTGACACCTCATTTACTCTCCCAGACGGCAAGCCCGCACAGTTCTACACGAACGACTGCGAGTGGGTCGTGGACCTACACTTTAGCATGATGGCAAACTACGGTATCAGCGGCGCTTTCATCCAAAGGTTCTATGGGTATATCAACGAAGCGAACGGAGGTTGGGTTAACGTGCGTAACACCTACCATATCGAGCGAAGTTGAACACAGCCTGAATTTGGGGTAGATCTTGAACTATGCAAAAACAGCTGCCGAGAAATATGGGCGTGGGTTCGTGATCGAATACGACCTTAACGGTGCAGCAACGGGTTCCACAAACGTCACCGACACGTTTTTGGCAGATCTAGAAGCTCTCTCCTCCATCACCTCGTCGCCAGCATATATGCATCAAAACGGGAAGCCCGTCCTTGAGATATGGGGGCTCGGCATAGTAACCGAGGTCACCGTGGATGACGGAATCGCAATAGTAACAGCGCTGAAGAACGCAGGTTGGTACGTGATACTCGGAGTCCAACAAGCGTGGCACGCAGAGCTAGCGGCAGATCAGCCTGGCGGGTTCGGACCAGTCTACAAGCTCGCACATATGATACAGCCCTGGACCGTGGGATCTTACGACGTCAACAACTACGACGAATTCCACGACGGAAGACAGGCCATCGAAGACAGAAACGCATTGCAGCAGTTGGGATTAGAAAGCAGTATTGTCGTGTGGCCAGGGGGCTCAAGCAGCAACGCGAACCCAAGCGAGGTGTTTGATCACTTCCCTAGGTGGAACGGCACGTTCTATCAAAAGCAATTAGACGGTGCTATTAGCTTGAAGCCTAATTTCATATTCGGTGCTATGTTTGACGAAGTGAACGAGGGAACAGCGATATTCCCCGTACTAAGAAATAGGGAGTTACCTACCAATCAACGTTTCCTAGGGATCGACGACGACATGGAACCGGATATTTATCTGAAGAAGGCGGGAGATGCAGCGTCAAAATTGGCGGCGGCTTGGCAAGGGGATTAGTGTCAACTGCAAGGGGTCAGATTTCCCTTACGATAACGTCGATTACTTTTGTGATATACTGAACGTATTATCCTTCGGCTCAGGTGATTTAGCGGTGGGTGGATCACTGTCACTGAGCTGCATGGTATAATTTATAGGCTGTCATGGAAGGTATTACGGAAATATTGTACAAGAAGGTCAATAATTTGTCTTCTTCATCTTCAATCTATAATTGACCCTCTCTCCATTTACGACTTGGCCTTTCTCTATTAACAATAAAATTTTTTTTTTTATCTATGTGGGTTCTCAACCAATCTGGCCGCATCTTCCATCTCCTGAATCGATGGCATGTTGATTATCATCATATATAAGATATCCTGGGAGTGCTTGTTAGCCCCATAGGTAATGTTCATAATAATGGAGGTTGAACACCTTTCGTAGCAATCGCTTGCGTGGTTCCTTCTCAGCTCTTTGAGGGTGCTTGCGCGCCCGTTTTTCTCGCTTTCGTTCGTGCTTCTCGCGCTTGCGCTCGTCTTTGTCTAGTCTACGCTGCTGCTTCTTATGGTCCTTTGGCGTAATTTCCACCTTTGGATCCATTAGGGGATTGAGGGCACTGGTAGGGTTCTTTCTCAGCTATTAAAGGGCTGTTAATAAGTAATTGATGATACGAAAGGGATATCAACTCTCACGTATTTCCGTTGAGCCTTAAGATCTTTGCGCTCGTTGAAACCATCAAACGCCTTTGAAAATCCGCCCTTCGTACCACTTTCACCCTCCTCTTCCTCGCTGGACGTGTCCTCTAAATCGGGAAAGACCAACTCTGCGGAAGCCGGGAACTCAATCGGACCCGTTATCCCATCGTTACTTCGAAATTCACTGCGAGCATCAACCTGATTACTAGTTTCCGCATTGAGATCTTGCTGTATTAGAATGTTATTAGATTCCCGGTTATATGCCACGATGAAGCAATACAGGCCACGCGGTCGGAAAAGCTCATCGTTCATCTTCAAAAGGAACGCGTTTTGGCTATAACAATATAATAAGTAAATCTGATCTGATAGACCCGGACGGGAATGTCGTTACGTACTTCTTACGGCTCCGCATCTCCTGGTATACTCGGGCTGTTATCTGGACAGCTAGTCCAACAGTAGATCCTATGGCGGATGGAATGAAGCCGGCCATATTTGAAGCAAGGTTGATAGCACCTACTATCGGAGAGGCCGCCGTCGCTTTATCGAGTTCATCGAGAAAACGCATAAACATACGCTCGTCAATGCCACAGACCATTAAATCGGGCGCGTAGGCTCTGATGAATCCGCGGGTACGTTGTCCGGGCCGCCGCTGGGGGATTATGATTGGATAAGGAAGAGAAACCAGCACAACCGATTCATAGGGTCCAGGGTTCCAAATCGACGGCGTGCCAAGGTCATAGTGTCCTTGCTGGCCGCTATCACTGCTATAGTGCGCGCGTAGCCTCTCTTGAGCTTCGTCAAGTGCCCACTCCTCTTCCTCGTCATACGGCTGGTAGCTGTGGTTTTCAGCATCCTCCGGTCCTATAATGTGATTAACAAGGGCCCCCTTGGATACGAACCAGGATTTACTTACTTGGCACTTTGTAATGCATGTTCATAATGTCTAGCGAAAATCCGATGTGACTTATAAAAGCTTCGATGGTGATAATTGAAAGGGATTAAAATTTATCATATAACTAATATGTATTTGTCATACAATTAATATGTACTGAATAGGTAATATATAAGGTTTAATTTATAATATTTATGATAATTTAATTGATTAAGGTAAAATTGTAAAAATGTATATTATTGTCAGATTAGTCAGCCATGTCAAGTGACTTGAAAATCTTTAATCTTATATAAAATAACGATATTGTCAGATTAGTCAGCCATGTCAGGTAACTTGAAAATCCCTAATCTCATATAAAATAACGATATAACACGCGTTCTTACAATTTTACCTTAATTAAAAAAATTATAAATAATATAATAAATTAAACCTCATATAATATTTATTCAATACATATTAATTATATAACAATTAAAAGTCTTATATATTTAAACCGTATAAACTTTAAAAATAAAATCTTAACCGATACCATATAATATAATATATACGCATTAAAATAAATTTTAAATAAATTATTATTTACCTATTATTTTATTATAAATTTTATTATATTATTATTAAATTTTAAACTTAAACACCTTAACAATTAAAACGTATAAAATAAAACGTTTATATTATTTGTTTAAAACTATTAACTTTAAAAATAAATAAATTTTAATAATGTTAATATATATAAAGAACTTAAAATTTAACTTAAATCTTTTTTTCAAATACTTTAAATTTAAAACTATAAAAAACTATTTAACTTATTTAAATCTTAACCGGAAGTAATAATAAAAACGAGAATTTTATTAAAAAATTAACCGTTAATAATACTAACCTTAAATAAATAACCTTTTTTTTTAAATAATATAAAAGATGATTAAAATTTTATAAAAACTTTACTTAAAAAAATTAAACGCATATATATATATTAAAAATAAATATAATGAATAAAAAAATAATTAAATTAAAATAATTAATTATTTAAACCATATTAAAACTTTATTTCGAAATTATATAATAATTTAAATATATAATTTAAAATATATATAATATTTTAAAAAACCATTTAAGTATATATATATTAAAATATAAAATTTGGAATAATTATATTAAAATTATAACACCATTTATAAAAATACTTAAAAATTAAAAAACTTAAATAATTAATTAATTTATTACATTTATTAAAACTAAACACTTAAAACTAACCACCGTTAATGTTGGTAAGTATATATGTAAATAGGAATAATAATAATAATAATAAAGCAATAATAAATAAATTAATGGTGTTAAAATTAATGTATTAAAATATTTAAAGAAGGAAGAATTTATCTAAAGCTAGTTAAGTATATCGTATTCTTATATTTTTATAATAGTAAATACCTAACCTTTTTACCTAGTAAAATTGGATATTTTATCTTTTCTTTCTTTATTAATAATAAAAATACCTTATTATTAATAAAATACTTTTATATTAATATCATATAACTATTATTTATTTTATTTTTTTTTACAATTAATTAATTATAAAATATAATTAAATAAATAAAATTTTAATATTTATACTAATATATATTTATATTAATTTAAATATATGCCATTACATATTTATAATTATATACATTTATAACGATTAAAAAATAAAATTGTAATAATTTAAATTAAAAATTATTTTATAAGTAAAATTGCGTTAATATATATCATGTTATTTTATTTTTTGTATATTTCTTTTTATTTTTTATAATAACCTATGTTTAAATTAGTATTAATAATTGGCCTTAATAATCTACTATTATATTGGCTTAATATTATTTTTAATTTTTTTGTGTTTTATTTACCTTTTTAAGTATAAATTAATTTAATTATTTTTTACTAATATCTTTATAACTTTATTTAAGAATGTTTTTATTATTACATTTATTAAATTATAACTGTTATATATTTATTAAATATTATTAATTTCTTTATTTTTTTATAATTATTAATTTTTTTTTATTAATATTATCCATTTAAATAAAATATTAATATAATAAAAAAATTTATATATAAAACAAGAAAGATTATTAGAAAATTTAATTGATTTAAGATAATATTAATAGTATTATGGATAATGTAACTTATATTAAAGCCTTATATTATTTTGTAAATTTTATTAATAAATATATTATATATAACACATTTATATTTAGTAAATAATTAATAAATAATATTATTAATAAATTATATTTCGTTATTATAATTTATAAATCTTTTATTATTAAATATTATAATATAACTAATTTAAGAATTTATATCCTTATTATTAATAAATAAGTTATTTAATTTATATCTTTATTATTAATAAATAAGTTATTTATAAAAATATATAAGCGTAAGTTTTAAAAATTTAATTTTATATATTTAAAACTTTAATCTTTATAATTTATTTACTATTTAATTTTTATGTTAAAAGCTTTAACTTTTTTTGGTTTAAATTTTATATATTATATTATCATAAAGTAATTAAAGATTATTTTAAGTTAATAAATAAATGTAATATAAATATCTTTTATATGTTATTTTATAAATTTTTTAATTATATTAAATGTTTTTAAGTTTAATTTTTTTAATTTTTTAACTTATCTTTTTTAAATAATAAAGATTGTTTTTTTATAAATTATAATTTATAATTTATTAAAGTTTTTAATTATTTCTAATTTTAAAATCTTTTAAAGTTTTATTTTAATATTTACCCTTATAAAAGCCTTATTCTTTTTAGTTAAAAACTTTATTATACCAATATTTAATATGTTATTTATTTATAAATCTATAATTTTAAATAATTAATTTAGTTTTATAATTAATAAGTAAAGGTTAAATATTAATAAAATTATATTTAATTCTTTTTAATAATGTTTAGAATAAGTTTTAAATTAATATGTATTTGATTTTACAAGTTTATACAAAGGTTTAACTATTTGTAATAATATTTTTTTAAAATATTTACTTTTTAATTTTAAGGATAAATATATATATATTATTTTTTACATAAATGTTTTGAATTATATATATATTATAATAATATTTTAAATTATTACTTTTATATTTTATTATTATAATATAAATATTAAAGTTAATATTAAGTATTAATTAATGCGTTAAATTATTAAAATATATATTATAATAAAATCTTTATTAAGATTTCTATAACCTTATATTATAAATTATAATTTCTTATATAATATTAATATATTCTTCCTTTTAATTTTGTGAACTATGTAAGATTTAAATATAATTACGTTTTAATAAAATGTTTTATTATATATTTTAAATTATAAAATATCGTTTGTAAAAAAGGCATTAAATTCCTTTATATTAAAAACTTTATATAACTTTCCTAACGTAATTATTTTTTTATTTAATTATAATTTTAAGGTAAAAATATAATTGTTTTTTTTATATTGATATATATTATATTTATAATAAATATATCTAAATCCTTATCGGATATAACTTTATATTTATTAGGGTTAAATTAAGGTAATAGTAGCGATAAATAAATTTTAAAAAATTTTTTTAATTATATATATAGTTTAACATATGTATTCCAGAAAATTAAAATACTTTTTAACGTATTTAATATAATAATTACGTTTTTATTTATAATAATAATAATTTTATATAATTTTTTCTATTTGTTTTTTTTATAATAAATTAATATGTTATTATTAATAGGTAATAATATAAGTAATATTTTTAAAATATTTAATTTATTTTATATATTTATAATATTACGGATAATTTTTTACGTTTTAATTTTTTTAATTTTAATTATAATTCTTTATATTATTTAAATCTTTTTTAATTACGATTACGTAAGAAAAAAATCTATATTAATCTTTAAATAGGCGTTAAAAATTAATAGAGTGGAAATAAAATTGTTTGGATTTATTATATCGTTTACGGTTTTAATTATTATTTGTAGGTAAACTTTTTTTAATTTTTATATTTTTTCGGAAATAATCTTATACGTTTTTTAAATTAAGTTATAATATTTTTTTATTTTATTAATTAATTAATATATTTTAATAGGTATTTAATTGTAAATAATTTTTGTAAGGTAAGTTTTATTACGGAATTTAACGTTATTGAAATTAATATTTATATTATAGTTAAAAATGTTTAATAGTTTTAGGTATATGTTGATTTAATATTGTTTAAATATTTTTTAAGTTTTTTTGGTAGAAATGTTTTTTATAAATTAGGTTGTTTAAAACTTTATTATTATGTTGATTACGTAAAAAATTGGTTTTTTGTTTAGGTATATAATATTGATAATTATTTTATAATTAAAATTTATATTAAAGTTTTTAAGGTTAAATTTAAAACGTTAAAATATTTTATTTTTAATTTAATAATGGTAATAAAATTTATTAATTTTTTTAAGGTTTTTAATATTTATTTTATATTTTATTTTATTAAATAAATTATAAAATTTATTAATAAATAAGTGGTTAAAATATATATATAAATAATGTAATTTTATTTTTGTAAAGTAGGTAATATTATTAAATTAAAATTATAAATATTTTTATTTTTATATAATTTTAATTGTTATATTGTTTTTATTAATTAATTGGTTAATAATATTATTAAAGTATATTTTTAAATAATTTATATTTTTAATAGAAAAAAGAAACGAAATATTTATTTTTATTATATAAAAGTTTATTTTATCAAATAAGATATTAATTATTATAATTTTTAATAATTTAATAAATAAATTATTTTTAAAACGTATATTGGTTTTATTAACGCAGTTAATATTTAAATTATTATAATATTTTAAATTTTTATTAATAAGGGTTTAATATTAACTTTTATTTATAATTAATACTTATGTTATTTTTATATTTGGTATAATATTTTAAAATATGTTTTTTGCGTATTGGTTAAAAATAAATATAGTATTAATATTGGATTTATTAGTAAATTTTTTGGGGGGTAATATTTATAAATTAAATTAATATTAAAAAGATTTATTTAAAAAATAAATTATAATTATATATTAATTTTTTAACTTTTTTTTTTTAATAAATTTTTTAAACTTTTTTATGTTAGAATTTTTA